AGATTTGGAGGTGCTGATTCTCATCCCTAAATCGATCTTCAAACCGCAGTTTGTCGGGCGGATCTATGACTTTAAATCGCTCTTGTTTTGCCTCTCCGGGTCATTGATGCTAGAGACTGAAACAAAGTGAACATTTGCATTTTAATCAAACCCAGATTTTGTGTTCCCACTGGTTTCAGGTGTTTGTTGCAGCTTGATTTGAATTCAGAGAGTCTCATCAGCGACACGAGGAGGAGATGGTTCGTAATAAAAGTCAGAGCCGTTTACAAACACACTCGTTTAAAATTTCACTTGTAAAAAGGGAAGGCTGCTTTATGCTCGTGCACAAAGCGCTCTGAAAGGGTGTTCAGCCCTTCACGTTGCTCCTCTCTGACATTTTCTTCTTTTTCTAAAGAGAGCAACCAAATAAAAAGAGAAGTAATTGTTTTGTTGAAAAGTTGTAAATAAATAATTAATCTGCAGACTTTGGTCAAGGTTGGCAGCTCTTGATAAAAGAGAAGCGAGTGAGCATAAAACCACGAAGTGAGACGATCGTCTGGGGCCCGGAAAGAAAAATAAATTCAAACTCCTCATTTCAAAAACTGAATTTTAACAGAGCACGTAAAAACAAACCACTCGTTACGGCTTCTGTTTGCTGGAATTTGTCAAATAATTTGTAAAAATGTTCAATAACAAGGCGAAGGAGAGAATATTTAGATGAGTCTATTATATTAGTTTAAAGCAAAGTTTAAAAAAATGGTGGCCCACGGGCCGTATCCGGTCTCCGACCATCACTGACTGAACCATAAAAACAATTTGAAAACAGCTAAATCATCTGTTGGTGACATTTAAGATTGTTTGCACAAATGTCTTGTTTAAAATCAGCCAGAAACTATCAGAGATAATAAAAAAGCCAATTAAATCTGTTTTTTTTTTTGTTTTGTTTTAATGGTCGCTCGGTGGTCAATGCTGCAGGTTTGTAATCCTGAGGTTGTGAGTTCAAATCCAGGTTGCGTCAGGAGGGGCATCCAGCGTGCAGGTTCACTTCCTGTGGTGACCCCTGAAGAAAGGAGCAGCTGAAAGAAACTTTATTTTCTACACTCGCAGTCCTTGAAGCGATGCACCTTACACGCCAAAA